CAGAAAATCAATCTTCAATGTGAATGTGGTCAGAACTATAATGGGAAAAAACTTTTTAAAAGTGTGAACTGATTCCACCGATAGCACAATTATCAGAACTGCCACAACACCCACGAAAGCCCAAAAGGTGGCTGCAGTTTGGAAAATGCCTCCGTGTCCCCTGAGAAATGTAATCTAGGGTGTTTTATATTAATAATGTGATTTACTCTCCCAGGGTATACCACAATGCCAGGGAGAGGCAGGAGAGATTCTTTGCTTGCTGAGGCCTGGCCTGGCCAGCAGGAGCAGCTTTACACCATAATTGGCTAGGACCAAAAATAATGAAAATATTTCAAACAAATGCAAACTGAAAACAGCAAAAACAAAAACAGGGCAACTGTTGGATAGTACCGATGTCTATTTGTTTTTTTAAAGTAACTTTCCCTTTGGAGGAACTTGACTCAGTAGTCACGGGCATACTCATCACCTCCCCATTTATCCTTAGGGGTCTAAAGTAGCGTTAGCAATTGGAAGTCTGGGGCCTGTAAAGACTTTCCACCTAGCTCCTAGGCACATCCCCTGATCCCAAGGACCCACCCCCATAACTAGTATGCACCTCAACCACTTTCTCACAAACTGAGATACGCAGAGAGGCAGTACAAAGCAAGCTTTAGAAAATCCTACCCTTATGCACCTCAGTCACTCATTCCCATGTGCACCCATACGCAAGAAAATTAACAGCTGAGGTTCCCAAGGGGCAGGCTCTGGAAAAGTCGTTCCAGCTGTTCCCATTGAAGAGCCCCTTGCCTATATCTTGACTTGCATGAGAAAGAACAGTAGGCAGAAGCAGTGTTAGTAACTCCTTATCTCTCGCTGAAAATATGCCCCCTAAAAAATTATTTGCTGTTGGAGGGATGAAGGGAAGCAACTATAACTAAGAAACAAGAAAATATTAGACTGAGATCGACCACCAGGATGGCACGGAAGTCTGAGCGCCATCCCAAATGTAATGCTGAACTTTAACAATGTTTAATGATATTACTTATTGTTAGCACCTTTTAATGTTGTAATTGTTACATGGTTTTATGATTATGGTTTTATGATTATTATACTATTTATTGTTGTTTTTATCCTGTTGTAAGCCGCCCTGAGCCGGCCACGGCCGGGAGGGCGGGGTTTAAATGTAATAAATAAATAAATACATTTTCTTTCCCTGGTGACTCATCAGTACTCAAGCCTATACATCTTCCAAAAGTGGTGTAAGACATTTTTTTATTCAAATGTGGTTTCAGTAGTCAGGCATAAGGACAAATAGTGTAGAATGTTCTGGGCAAGGATGTGGTAGGCTTGCAATTCCAATAAACAAATAACTCCTCCAGTACAATATGGCACTTGTTATAATAAACTACAGTGTTTCAAAAACAGGAACAATTTTACTGTTCAGCACACAGGGGACTGGTAAACATATCTGGGAAGGCTGGTCTGCAGTTGGAATGCCTCAGCTGAAAAGTCCTGCTCCATGTATTAACAGATCTCACCTCCCTAAAGGCATATGGGACAGAGCCTCATGCACAGACCTGAGGACACACACTGCTCCTCCATTAAGGCTGGACATGACTGGGGAGTTCTTCAGTTTATCTTTATTTTTAAAGGCCTACATACCCAACAGGACTCACTTATCCCAAATCTGTGTGTTGATTTGCCTTTGAGTAACGATTTTATGGTGTATAGTTCTCTCCTATGGAACATTATCAAATAACCATGAGCTTGAGGATAAAATGAAGACATAACTATAACTAGGAAAAACTAGAGAGATGAACAGCAGGGTCAGGAAGTTGCAAGCAAGGTTTTAAACTCTCAGCAGGAGATGGCCAGACAGAAAAGCCGACTAATTCCTGACCATCATTCATAGCTTTGTTCATGCCTCGGAATTTGACTGGCCAGACACTTTTGTTGATATTTTTTTTAAAAATAAAAAATTAAGATTGTAACCGTACAGTGAAAAGCATTATTATTTTATCAGATGGTAAAGGCCCAGTCCAGGATGTCTTTGGACTTGAAGGATTAAAAAAAGGCATCCTCCCTCTTCCCATAGAGGTGGGATACAGTCCACCTTTTTAATGTACAAGGCTCATTAAAATGAATGTTGCTCAGAAATCCTTTACTTTTGCAATTAGTCATTATAGTGTGGCTTGTACAAGAGAAAGTCTCAGTATTCTATGGCGCCAGGAGTTAAGATGGTGCCCACAATCCATCGGCTGAGATGGACGCCTTACCTCATGGCACGGCCACCTTGACGTCTGAGCAGCCCACCTACAGCTGTGAGTTTTCAGAGAGTATGCACAGGGCTGCTCTCACTCCTGCTTTCTCACAGTAGGTGGGTGGGTGGTTAGTGGGAAACAGTTCCCAATTCTCCTCCATCACAGAAGGAGAAGGTGTATTTTTAGTCAGGAGAACATCAGGGCCTTCCAGTATCAAGTACGTGAAAAAAATCTGTTGCTTGTTAAAAAAAAATTTTTAAAAAGGCAGAGGCTGAGAGATTGCGGCTGTGGTGATGAGGATGACAACAGCCAGGGACATGAATTATTCTGATTGCTCAGTTGCTAGGGGCTGTTCAGGGAAGGGGTGGGCTTCCCCCCATATGTCATCATGGCTGTCAAAATATTGCTAAAGGCACTGCCTGGGTGGTGAACAAAACCACTTGCAGCCTTGGGTTAGTCTCAAATGCTGGCAGTACAAGCAGAACTCAGTGGCTTTGGTCCAACAGAGGGACAGTGGCTGAGCATCCTCCATCCTCCACTTCTTCCTACAGCTTCTCACTCCACTTCATTCCAGCCTCGGCATGCTGCATGCCTGCAGGGGTTAAGTAAGTGAGTCACAGTGCCGGCTTTCATAATCTCTGGGTCTACACAAGGACAGGGTAGGTAATAATGTAGTTAGTACCAGGCTGCGGGCCTGAAGCGGTTAATGAGCGCTGCCCCCCCCCCCCCCCCCCGCCGCGTCCTGTTAAAACTGAAACAGACCTGCCCAGCAAGCTTAGCAACTTTCATACTGGGTTGTAGCGAGCAACGATCTTTTAACAGCTTCTCTCAGCCACGGCAGGCACATTATTTCTGACGTCGAACAACACGGTGCTGCACCTTCTCCGGCCGGAGAGTCTCCTCCCGAGCGCGAACTTGCAAGGGTGGAGAGCGAGTGGGAGCCGACTGGCTCACTGGGCTCCTTTCCCAACGGGATGGATTTAGGACGTGGTGCGAGGCTGAACCAACGTCTGGCTCCTCGAATCTGCTGCCGGGAAAGCTAAGGCGACTGAGGATGGGACCAGCAGCGGACTGCAGAAACTGCTCCTGACTCCACAGCGGGAGGTGAAGCCCGAGGTCGCGCATCCGATCCAGACATCAGGCCGCCCGAGAGGATGAATTCCCTCTGCGAGGAGCCTGATCCGTGACCCTCCTCCTTTCCATCTCGCGGAGCTGCAAAGTCTCGGGGGAAGGGAGCGGCCCCCCAGTGGAAAGGTAACCCGTCAGGGCTGGGGAAGGTCGGGGGAGGAAAGTTCTGGAGGCCGGAGCTCTCCCGGCTGCGGCAGAGAAGCCCGTTCGGATTGCCATCCCTCGCTTGGCAAAAACTGCCCGCAGTGCGCCGCCGCAGAGCCTGAACTTTCCTGAGCGGCCGGCAGGGATGCTGAGCTCCCCGCCACGGGGAAGGGGGAAGCTGCCGGACCGGCCGGCGCAAGAGGACGGCTCCGCTCCGGCGGTTGTGGGGCTTGTGTGTGTGTGTGTGTGTGTGAGACAGACAGACACAGAGAGAGAGATCCTGCCCGCCACCTCCGGGAGACTGGAGCCGTGAGCAGCCCCTTCCCCCTCCTCTCCCGGCCCGGCGTCTGTCACCTGCGTGCTCCCAGTCCCAGCCAGCACCCGGAACAACGCAGCCCCCCTCCCCCCCGCGGGTCCCGTTGGCCGGCTCAGACCTCTGTTCCTCCCAACTCCCGAGGGTTGCACCGAGCTGCGTGCGCGGGCGCCCTTCTCCCCTGCGTGGCACTCACTTGGGGACCGGAGGCGCAGCAAGATTATGTAACGCCGGCGAGGCCAGCCCAGCCGCAGAACGGCGTGTGAGGGGGAGCGCTTTTGCGCCAGCCGGCGGCGGCAGCGGGGGGTGGTGGTGTCCCAGAGCGCGCGTGGCCAGAGGCGCAAGGTCACGAGAGGCGCTGGCGCAGGAAAGGCGCGAACCCTGCACTCCCGGGCGAGCCGCGCCGAGTTCCGCTTCCTATTTCCCCCCCTCCTCTTTCTCTGCCCCTCCCCCTTTCAATATGACCCTTCGCTCGTCAGGTTCCTTTCCCCCCTCTCTCCCCCACACTTCGCCCCCCCCCCTTTGCCAGAATAAACCAGGGTGGTGGTCAGAATCCGGTTTTTTAAAAAGGGTGTGTGTGCTTGGATCGCTGCTTGCTCTGAGGGACTTTCTTGTTGTGTTTAAAAAAGAAAGTACAAAATAGATAAACGAGGGCCAGGTCTCTTGAAATAGGAGCATCTCTGTCACCAGATTAAACACACCTCAGGCGCTCGTGCTTGGGCACAAGATGCTCCCACCAACGCTTCTTGCGGTGGGGAGATGAAGAGGCTGCTCTAGAGGGGTACCTTTGCAACTGATCGCATTCTGTCCCTGCCAATGCAGTGCTTTCATTTAGGGCCTTGCGCTTTGCTTACGATTACCCAGGGCAGGGGTGTTAAATATATGGGCCTGGGGACAACTGGTGAGAGAGAGGGAAGACCGGAGGCTGCTGGGGGCGGGGTGTGCACTTGGTGAGGGGTGTGTGGTCGACTATGAGGCTGAGGTCAAATAGTGTGGGGGGGGGAGGGGAATGGCAGCGAAAGTGGAGAAAGAGGAGGTGTGGGTCTTTCCCCTCCCGCCTCCTCCCAAGTGCAGCTCAGCAGGGACCAACAAAGCCATAGGTGGAGGGGCAGAACCAAGCGGCCATCACTGCCACCACCACACCAAGGACCATGGGGGGGGGTGATGAGACTGGGTGCATGGAGTGGTAGTTTGCTGGTGAAGGGACAGGGCCAGCAGGGGAGAGAGGAGGAGAAGGGCCAGCATGTGGATTGGGAGGCAACAGGGCTGTTTTGAGCGTGCAGCTCTGAGAGGAAAGACATCCCAGCCTCAGAAGTGAAGGGGGAAAGGGGTACCGCTGTTCCTGCTGCATATCTGAACCGC